CAGATGAAAGCCTGCTGTGACCTGATGAATTGAACCCTTTTCACGCATTGTGGTCACTACAGTGGACAGCTATTCAAAGGCTGTTTTCTTGTATTTGTGTCAGTGTTGATGGTATACTTGCGCATAAACCACTACATTGGACACTGATGTGTAACTCCATACCCTGCCACCCACTCCAAAGAGGATGTTGTCCACCTAAGTGTACATGTAAAAAACTATTTGAAAAATACACGTTTAAAAGTTCAAAAATCTTTTTTTCATGCCTACAGATGAAAAAATCCTGATTGAGGTTGTCATAATTCATGCATGAAAGGGTTAAATGCACAAAGTCACTGACAACTGATTACTGTTGTGATAAGTCAAAGTTTGTAAATAAATGAATAAATGAGTAGCACTTCAGTATACAACCAGCGTCCCTAATGGTAATGTGTAATAACAATGTAAGAAAGAGAAATATTATTTGCAATCTCCTGTGAAATACCCTGGAGTTCATTATTACATAGATATTACATTAAAATACCTTAGCCTGTAGTTTAAATAAACTTTCTTTCATTAGATAAAAAAAAAATTATTGTCATTTAAAAGTCTCTCTTTGAAAGTTCATTGTTATTCCGTAAGTATTTCATAGTAAATGATAATTAGAACACCCTAAATTTAGAAGAACTACATATTGTGATATTTTACCCAAAGTTTAGTTCAATTCACTGTTATTTGTATAGCTCCAAATCACAACTGTTTCCTCAAGCTGCTTTATATTGTAGGATAAAGATAAAACACAGAGAAAACCCCAACAATCAAACAAACCACTGTGAGCAAACACTTGGCAACAGTGGGACAAAGAAAATCCTCTTAACAGGAAGAAAAGGGGATTTAATGGGGATGAGGAGAGGGATACAGGATGAAAGACAGACTGGAAAGAGTCAATTATTAAAATTAATTACTAATGGTTAAAAGCAGAGGAGCAGCCAGGTCCCCTGATTTAGCCCTAACTGTATGCTTTATCTAAAATGTAATGTTTTTAGCACAATCTCAAAAGGAAAAGTTGATTGTCTCCCAAATCCAAACTGGGAGCTGGTTCCACAGAAAGCTGAACGCTCTGCCTCCTGATTTTTTTTATGAAATGTGAAGCGAGAGCAGAAGTCGAACCGCTACATGTTATGCGCAGTTTTCAGATAAAGAGAGGGCAGTATGTTTCTTTTTGCAGATGGACAGAAGCAGCATGTTGATTTATGACATCTTCAGACAGCTGCTACTTAGATGCAGTGTGAGTGAGAAAACAGTTTAGGACATCAGTGTGAAATCTTGAGACTCTGCTGGACACTTTCCTCCTCGATCTCCTGTCTCTATTTTGTCCCCTCACCCCTCAAATACAAACACGTTCACTTTTTAAAACATACTCTCTCAAACTTGTTTGACTCCATGTTGATTAGATTAGAATCTTGCTGTATTGCTTTATTCTCTCTCTCTGCCTTCAGATGGTGGACATAATTCAGACCCTTGAGACATAAACTCTGTGTGCTGCCAGTTGCATGCAGCTGTGTCCGTATACTGTTTAAAATATAATTTGCAAGATGCAAAAGATGGCCTAGAGGTAATGCTCACCTATAGACACTCCCTTTTCCCTGCACTCTTTCAGTGACTCTCTGAGCAGCTCTGTTACTGCATGCATATGTTCCCATATGAACCTGTGAGGAAGTCCTGAACAAGAACAAGAACAAGAAGATGCAAAAATGAAGCTAAGTGTTAATCTCCATCCTGTCACTGTTACCTGCTGCAGGGACAGTTCTTCTCTGGTGCCTTTCATAGTATCAGCCTGCATTTCAACAGGTATGAAAACTGATTATATTTGGAGTCATTTCTATGGTAAGGAAATCATTGTGAGGTGAGCTGCATCTGCCGACCACTGATAAATTTCTTACAAAAGCCACTGACATTGGTGCTTCCAACTTTAGACCCAGCAGATTTGTAATGCAGGTGCTGGTGCTGGTGCTGGAATTTTTAGCACCAACTGAGAAAGGTAGTGTAATTTCCTTCTTTTTTGTCCACATCAGATCAGTTCAAAGGTCATCTGCAAGATATCTCAGATTCCTGAAATCAATAGTAAACACTATAAACCTACAGCTTTTAATACAGTGGTATTAAACGCTGTAGGTTTGGCCTACAGGCCTGAAAATGTGCAATAAAAACTCCATTACAACTAACCAGCAAGTCAGCAATGATGTCCACGATGGAGGCAAAATTTTATTGACTGAGAGAAAAGTTCATGACCCCAAATCAGAGGAACTACCACGAGATGGAAACCAGCTGCTAAGTCTCAAGACGAAAAACAAGCCAGCAGTTCAAAAACATGTGTACCAGTGGGTTTTGGAATAATAGCTCAATAAACTGATGACGAACAGCTTAAGAACCAGCACATCCTCATACAACGTCAAACACAGACATGTATGAATGGAACTGGTGTAAATGTTCAGGGTTAAGGGTGAAGAGGTGAAATACCTTTAGCAGGCCACACCAATGGCTTGAACTTAATCTGAATTCCACCTGCTGAAGAGCAGCCTAAAGGCAGAGACCCCACAGCAAGCAGGAGCTGTGTGTGGCTGCGGTTAAGCCTGTGAGATCATCAGTGGGGACGATACAGAGACGGTGACGTTTGTGTTTCGAAGAGTTCAAGCAGTGCACGCCTGCAAAGGATCATTTTTGTTAATTTTTTTACTTTTAATGTTTTTTTCCACTGTACTGATACAAACATACTCATATTAAAACTGAAACTTGGCCCATTTTAAATCTGAATTTCCTTAAAAGTCTTAATAGCAAGAAGAACAGTCTGTATAGTCTGGGCTGTATGTAAGAGCAGCTCTTTTAGAAATTACTGGAAATATGACTGCCTTTACCCCACCGCTGTTATAATAAATGCATGTAAACATAAAAAGTAAAGATTAATTTAAACAAAGTAATACTTTTGAAGTCTGATTCCTACACGAATGTCTTCTGCTTGGTAAAAATCAAGTTACAACGTGTTGGGTTTTCATCATTCCCGCTGCTGGTCTCATTAGCAAAGTAAAACAGAGCAGTTCTCACACCTCTCCATTTGGACCGATCATTTCTCAAGGAGACAGACACACACATTCAAAGAATGCGCAAAACAAATGTTGACTGTTTACACTCAACCTGTTGTTGTTTATGCACTTTCTTTCAGGTCCGCTTGTTATTTTTAGGGCTGTAAATCAGACAACAGACAACAGCAACACCAATCACAGCTTCTGCCTGCAGCAAGACTGCTAATTCTATTAACCATTAGAATATAAGCTTCCACTGACCACATTCATCTGCAGTTACCTTTGATTATAACACAATAATTATTCTAATTAAGATTCAAGAACTTATCTCTTTCACCTTCCCCCAATGTGAGAGGCCAGTTCATTAATAATTAGCCCTTTAAATTATTTTATCTTATATTTTCTGTGCCCAGCTAGAGCTGAACTGTTCAGCTATGAATAAGTCAGAGAAGAGATACTGGACCATCTTTAAGCAGCAGTTTTTACCCATGACTGTGGCATCCATTAGTCCCCCCCACCGCCCACCTCCTATTGCACAAACACCTACAAATAACTTTTGGGACTGACTTCATATATGTGCAAATGCAAAGTATTGGAATTTTTGCATTTATGTAAATCATGAAATTAAGTCACTGATCTCTGTACTTGCTGTCATAAAAATAAAACAATATTTGAATGTTTTTGTATATGTTGTTTGTATAAAGCTTGTATTGCTGTTTTTATAGTTTTATTATTACTTCTTTTTTTTTAAATTGAAGAAGATACTTTCATCCTTTCCCATTGGTTTCTAGTCACCAAATTAAATTGTGTTGCATCTTTCTATAATGACAAATATCAAACATCTGTTACAAACCTGTTACAGTGTGGATATTAAAAAAAAAATAAGTGTTGTGATTCAGGAATAAACTCATTTTTTGTTAATGGACTTGTCTCTGGACTCTGGCCTTCTAAAAGTTCCTAGAGCCAGAAAAAAGACAATTGGAGAGCGTGCTTTTTCTTTTCGTGCCCCGTTTCTGTGGAACAACCTCCCTCAAGATATTCGGCAGGCATGCTCTGTGGAGGTTTTTAAAACTAAGTTGAAGACACATTTGTTCACCCTATCCTACATGTCTTAATTCTATAGCTTTTAGTTTTTAAATTTTTATTGTTTTTAACTTGGATTGTGTCTTTTACCTGTATTGCTATGTATCGCTTTTATTTTATTTATCTCTTTAGTTGTACAGCACTTTGTTTGAAAGCGCTTTATAAATAAAGTTATTATTATTATTAAATGGAAAACTGTCAGAAAAACTTGTAGTCATTAAACACAAGTAACCCCACTTTTGCATTAAATCACAGAGAGGTACTGCCCCCTACTGATTAGAAAGTATTAAGTTCTTTTTTTCCAGGGGGTGGGGAGGCTGGTTAGCAGAAAAAAATATTAATTATGAGAAACTTCTGAATTACAATACTATTGACAATACCCAAGGTGGCCCTTGGGGGGGTAGGGCGTATTCAAATTACGACACAGTTATGGGGGAAAACAATCATCACTAAAAACTCCTCAAAGACCTTCTCACAGCATAACCCACTCTCTGTTTCAGTAAACATATTATTTAAAGTGCCCCACTGAATCCTGATTAAGTGACAGAGGCTTTGACGATAAAGCCCTTGAATGCAGTTCAAACATCAGTATACACCAGTTTTACTGCAGGTTTTATCACTGCTGCAGAACATTCAATTCAATTTAGTTTTATTTATATAAGGCCAAATCACAACAACAGGTAAAGACACCACAATAAACCAAAACAGAGATAACATATATGTTTATCTCAAGAAAAAAAATTAGAAATGTTGAGATCAATAAATTATTGTGCATATCTTAAATGTGTTAGCATTAATGACACAAACAATTTTGTGTTTCTTTCTGTTGGTAATTAAAAAAAAAAAACCCCAAGAAGCAGCTTTTACTCTGTAAACAAACATTTATTCTTTACAACACAAGGCCAGTAATTTTTATCCTGTGCTTCCTCAGCACTGAATGAGCGGGTAACAAATGTTTTCATTGCTGGTGAGTAAATTTACTGTACGTTTCTTTCTCAAAACAGTTTTTTAATCTAAAATATCTGAACAATATGACAATGTCTTATGCAAGACAAAAAGTTATTCAGTTTGCCGTCATACTGTACAGAGAAATACATCAAATAATGACACGTAAGAAGCTCAGACCAGTGTATTTGTTATTTCTGCTTAAGTGAATAGTGATTCCCTGACATTAACATGCAGACAGCGCCATCTGCTGGACAGCGTTAATCTTAATCAAATGGTTAAACTGATAAAAGAGAATTGCAAATTAGTAAAATGACAAAAACAGGTAAAGACACATGTGATGAAAGAAAAACAAAGCAGTACACCATTAAGGCTGCAGTCTTCATGTTGAGGACGTAGGTATGATTATTGGACAAGCAGGGGGAAAAAAATATGGATTTTTCAATAATATTTGGCTGACAGGCAAAAATGACAATGATATTTGGGTTGTGTCATGAAGGAAATCCAATTTAGAAATCTACAATTTGTGGGAAAAGGAAGCAACTGAATGTAGCTTTACAATTTATTTTTCTTTTCTGAACTTTTTTTAGCTTCTGCAGGAGAGCATGGCAGTAAAACTTTGAGAACTGCTGCCATACAATACAACCCCTTTGAATATTAACTAAAAGGTTATTAAACAGACGCAACTGCATATATATGCTTTATTATTCACATTACACTTTTATGGGGGAAATGTGATAAAGCTGTCTGCACCTTCTCAGAGTTGCAGTGTCTTTTTAAGGATAACTAGTCTTTTTTTGTGTTTTCACAATATTTCCATTTATTTATGACCAGTGGTGACCAAAATGAATTGGCAAACAATTGAAGAACTTATTAATTTGGGTGACAGACTTTAAACAAATATGAGTTCGGTTCATTGAGGAGCTGTGCTGCAGACCAGCACCGCCCTTATGGCCTCCTGCAGTTTCTTTACAGACTCCATCACCAGTCGAAAACTTTCATGGAAGTTGCCGTTACCTTCCCTCACCCAGGCTTCCTGGAGCTCACCGACCCATGTCAGGATCTCGTCCAGCTGTTTCTGCACCTCCCTCTGCTCTTCTAGCTCAGCTAGCAGGGCCTGTCTGGCACAAACTTCTGCTTCATAGGCTCTCTGGAGGTCCACCAGGGAGGACTCCAGCTTCAGTACCTCCTGGACCATACAAGATCACATTCAAAGCAAGAGGGAGAAAAATCAGTTTTAATCATGCTTTGAACAATCATGATGAATTCGATGTTAAGATGAAGTTAGAACATGTTTAATGCCATTAAAAAGTTGCTCGTATTCTTGAAATTTTACAGATATTCATAACTCGGTGTCCACTTAGTAAACCTTCCTGATTTTCCTTCCTCTTCTTTTTTCCCAAAAAAAAGTCTGGGTTTTAGTTTTACTGCAGTTAAGTTGATTTTTAACACTTAATGCAATTAAACACAGTTAGGTCCATAGGTTTTTGATCTACACACTTAATTTTGCCCTTGTACATTTCCACTATCAAATGCGGAACTGCAAAACGGATAGGACAGAACTTCAGAGTTTCTTAATTCTTCAGTGGCCAGGTCAATCACCTGATCTCAACCCAAGAGAGCAAACTTTTCAATAATTGAAATTATTGGGAAATTAAAGAGAATACGGCATTTAGAAGTTATGCTGTCAATTGCTGAAACCAACTACCCAGATCTTCTCCGATTTTAGCTAGTGTTTGAAACCTGCTATATAAATAAACATGCGTTGCCTAGGTCAACACCCAGATGTTTAACTTGAGGTTTTCCGACTTAAATAGAGATTAATGGAATGAAAATGTGCCAGGATTAGGGTTTTAACATTATCTTAGACATACAGAGCCCTAAAAAATGATCAACTCCATTGGCCTCCCCACCCACCTGGATGTCTTGGGGGTTGTTTTTGTGCGACTGGTCCTCGGGTAGCAGAACGTTTGGCGGCACGGAGAAACAGTGGCTAACCAGCAGCCCATCCATCCGCTTAGACAGCTGTTTGAACCGCTCTTCGAGGAACTGCTGCAGCTTTCGGCTGCACTCTCTAGCCCGGGACCGGAGCAGTTCCTCAGTCCCGTCCGGTTCCCCTTTACTCAACTGCCGCACGCAAACCTTCTCCACAACGGGCAAAATTTCGTACAAACAGTCCAGAAAAGCACTGTGAACACGGATCATGCAGGTCTGCGGGGTGAAGCCGAAAAACTGCGTCTCATACAGTTTTAGCTGAGCCGGAGAGAGACTGTCCGCCTCTGAGACGTCCTCTCCGTGGACATCCATTGCCTCGGCTTCCCGGGTTTCCCGCGCCATGTTCAATCGCTAAGCGTCCTTCTTCTTCCTGGTCATAGTTGAGATATTTTTGGGCAGCAAATGTAGAAATGAATCTTTACCGCCACCAACCGATAGAAGGTGTTAATGACAAATAGGAAATTCTTAATCTCAATCTAGGGGTCTTTTTTATTTATAAAAATTTCACACTTTTGGAAATACCACATAAAATACAAACACTTCACTCACAGCCAAAGTATATGTTTTTACTGTAGTATCAATAAACGTAGGCATTAATCCCTCCTCATGCTAGCTGTGTGGAAAAAGTTTGGGTTGGGGTGGGGGGTATACATCTGCAGATGATGTTAAAATTGGTCCTTTCTAGAGCCTGTAGACAGTTTCATTTTTGTGTTGTTTTTTATCATCTAAAAAAAATAGAGTATAATGTCTAAAAAAAATTAAATAATAAATAAAATAATTTATTTTTAATTAAAATGTATTTAACTTATTTTCAACTTTAGTTTTAGTTAATAACTCCGCTTATTCAAACTTAAAAAACAAACAAACAAAAAGTTGAAAAGATTTTCTGTTTATTGTTGATTAAACAATGCGCATGACCAAAGCGTGTGACGTGGCCCTCTGACACGCCCACCTTGTTCGAGCGAAAGGGGCATGCGCGCGCATTCACTTCCTTCGCGGCTCGTGCTTCTCTCTTCTCTCTGTGTGTTGATAGCGGCTTTTGCTTCCACACGTGTAATCATTCCTATGTGAATCTCTTTCTGTTTGGAGCCGCTTTTAAACTTTTCCTGCGCCGTCAGAACAGGTAAATCAGCTGTCGGTGTTAGGCGTTTGATTTTCCCCGCAGCTGCGCAGCCGCTCGCGCGGGGGCAGAGGTTACCGCTGGAAGTTTAGCCGGGTTTAGCATGGTGGTATTAGCTAGCCGCTGCGCCTACTTTTTGTTGTGGTGTTGCTAACGTTAGCCAGCTAGCACCCGCAGCTAGAAGGGACAGGGTAATGTAAAATGTAACGTGAACCTAAAAAGATGTGACGCTTCTTTCTCCTGTTGTCTTCCCTCCAGGTGTAAAGCCATAGAAACGGACTACCATGGGGGCATATCTGTCTCAGCCTAGCACCACCAAGACCTCTTCAGATGGCGGCAACAGCAACATGAGCTACGGTTTCTCTGCCATGCAGGGCTGGCGGGTCTCCATGGAGGTGAGGCGGAAAATGAATAAGCGCATCAGGGACCGTGGTGTTGCTGCTTTGCCAGCTTGTTTGCCAAATGAAACGAAGCGAAAAACATTTTACTGGGTTATGAATGAGAAATGCAAGACATTTTTGTTTTGTTTGTTTGCTTGCGCGGAGCTCAAAACCTCTAAAATCAGTTGCTGAACATCAGCTGCGTTTGTGGTGGAAATTCACAGCATTTAATGACGGTGGTGTTTAGAAAGTATCATACTTGGTTCTCACTTCAGATCAAAAATGTAGACGGCATTCAGCTAATTTTGACACCTTCAAAATCAAACAAAAAAGAAAGTAATCAGTGGGGTGGTTTAATTTTTTTTTTTCTTCAGGGACACCCTCACTGCATTGTTTTCATTTTCAGCCATTTGACTTTTGCTTACATCCAGAGTAATCTAGCATTTCAGGGCCAGGAACTGGTGATCTAGTTTAGTTTTAAAACTTTTAGACTGTGTTTTAATCTAAATGGGAAAGGCACATACGTACAAACTTGCTTTTCTACTGGGTCATCCAAATTAAGCTTATACATATTTTAGCTCCACTCTCCACTTTGATTGCCCAAGAGTCCCATCTCTGCTTTTTGAGGATTATGTGGTTCTGTTAGCTTCATCGGGTGGTCGTCTCTAGGAATGGGAAATAGCTCCATTGAGTCTGAGGCCATGGTTCATAGGCAGAAATGTGTGGAGTGCTTACTCTGAGTCAGGGACAATTTGCTGCCCCAGGTGGAGGAGTTTAGGTATCTCAGGATTTTGTTCACAAGTAAGAGGACAGGGGACCAGATCATCAGCAGACGGATTGGGACAGAGGCTGCAGTGATGAAACCTGAGTGTAAAAGTGAAACTGTTGATTTACTGTTTAATCGGTGTCCCCTAATGACCATTCCCTGGATAGATTGATAGATAGTATCTTATCTACCTTTTAATAATTTCATTCTAGTTGGGACTTTCTATGGTGCTGTTAACATATTTGCTTTGCAACAACTCTCAGTTACTTTACTTTCTGTAACCGCTTCACCTCATTATCAGCACGTGCAAATAAATCTTTAATTGCTTCATGGAATTTGCAGATGAAAATGCTCCCTGGACTGAGGTTCTTCTTATTTTAAGGGGGGGGGGGGGTGTTTTGTTTTGGTTTTGTTTTTTTTTTAAAGAAAAGATAAACTTTGTTGCTTAACAAATATAAAATACATTGGTCTCACCTAAATTTCATGTTCACTGTGATTTTGATTTTTTGATTTTTATCCCCATCTTTCTTTGTCACAGGATGCTCACAACAGTATCCCAGACTTCGATGAGGATACTGCCATGTTTGCCGTGTATGATGGACACGGAGGTAACGCACTGATTGGAATTTTTTTGTTTGTTTGTTTTTTTGCACATCAGAGTACTATGTGCACACACTTCAGTTCATTTATATTACTTATTTTCCCTTTTAGGTGAAGAGGTAGCGCTGTACTGTTCAAAGTACCTTCCTGACATCATCAAGGAGCAGAAAGCCTACAAAGATGGCAAACTTCAAAAGGTGAGATGCGTCCAGAAACGTTTGCAGGACTTAAATGAGTTTGAAGAAAAATGCCCATGACCACATGCTGCTTGGCTGTGGTATACTTAAAGCCATATTAGAAACGGTGTATTATGAGGGCATGGTTGCCTCTTCTCTGCTCTTACAGTATCAACATGTTTGCATGTTGTTTTCCAGGCACTGGAGGATGCCTTCTTGGCCATCGACGGCAGGATAACCACAGAGGAAGTCATCAAAGAGCTTGTCCAGATCGCTGGACGGCCCACCGAGGAGCCACCCGCTGAAAAGGTGGCAGAGGAGGACGATTGTGAGTACACCACTGCTTGTGACATTTCATGTGGATTCTAGTGTCAGTGAACACATAATAAATGCTCATCTTTGTTGAATGATAATGCAGAATTGTTAGTATATGACATAAATTACAATATAATAAACCAGGAACAATGTTATTCTTACCATAGATATAATCTGTCCGAGCCTGAAGTTACACAACAGAAAAATTTATGTCTACACTCACATTTCGTGGTGTGCTCCTGCTGAGTGTATAAGGGCTTACAGCTGTCCCACAGTCACAGTTTCATACTGTAATATTTAATCTTTGACATTTGTTTTGCGCTTCTCCCATTCCCGGTGAATGCCACTATCACTCACTTCTCTATTCCAGCCCACTTGTGCAATCAATATTCAGCAATCATATACATCATAGGCATAGTCGGGGTCTTGGAGTACTGCACGGGAGCGCATCTTGAGTGGGTGAAAACCCCTCTCCTCCTCTGCAGGGCTGAAACTTTTAATTAATGGTATGTTCACAACAAACGCAAAGTGAAGTTTTAACTCTCACTACTTAAAACGTTTGTCTCCAGCAGCCGATGTAGTGGGAGGACTGCAGCTGATAGCTAGTTACACTTTAGACTTTGTTTATAATCACACTGAGCAAATATGTTACATTTGATGTGAACACATCATAACATATTTATCACATCTTCATAAGTAGTACCTTGCTTTGCTTCAAGTGCTCACTTGAAAGTTGAGACTTGTGTGTTTCGTGTCATCAGTAGTAACTTTCCACGTCAACGCCTTAAATCGCTTAATGTCATTATCTCTGGTCACTGCTGTTCACATCCTGTATGGATCCCTCTTTAGACAAAAGCACTTGAAAAAGGACAATCTGGAAATTTAGGGGAAAAAAGGTTAAATAAAATCAAAGGAATGCAACATGTGCTTTGCTGCAAACCAAGATTATTCTGTGTTTTAAAAATAGGTTAATTATTTTTTGGACAGTGATTTATGGTCCCCTCTAAAAAGCACAAGTTTGAAAGACATTTGGTGCTTTAAGTTCCCCGAGTGCAAAGAAAGTTGTTTTTTGTTTGCTTATTTTGTCATTTGTCACAAAATGCTCTCCGGTTCCTGCCATGTTGTGCTTTTTTGAATTCTCACTCATGCCTACAGCTGTGCAGACAGATGACATAATTTAAGTCTTTGAGGATTTAGTGCTTATAGACCTTGAGGTGGTCATTACGATTGGGCCCATATGAAAGATGAAGGTCATGTGCAAGTGTACTTGTGCCTGGATTTGCGTTTATGTGATTATAATTTTATTGTCACTTCAACAACTTAATGTTTTAGCCGTAAACCTTTGGCACAACAGCATTCATCTTGTTTTGTTTGCCCTTCTGTATTTATTCAAAGTGCGTTAACTGTAACTACTCGAACGATCACCAGCAATAAAAATCAAACCAAATTTGTGGGAATACAGCAAGTAAATTACATGCTTAGAGTGCGTGCACTATTTGTAGCTTGAATCTCTGACGTCAAATGATAATACAAGTAATTCTGTGTTTTCTTTTCCTTCTCTCAGTGGACACAGAGGAGGCAGCTTTGCTCCACGAGGAGGCCACAATGACTATAGAGGAGCTGCTGGTACGATACGGCCAGAACCGCAATGCTATCAAACATGCGGCCGCCATGAGGTACATCATTAAAGTTGTTATGATTTATGCATGAAGTTTTCACCTGAAGAAAGTAGAAATTAAAAAAAAAAAAATGTTACTGCAAGAGGTCATGTCATGCAAGTTAATCAATACTGGTGTCAGATATCTCACAATTGTTCTCCTCTTGCCACCTTTTCAGCGGGTCAGAAATTTACGATATCCAACAGTCTGGATGGTTCAGCTACTTGTTTCATGTTGGTCGGCACAGTTAGAAGCTGCAAGAATTAATTTTCTTTTGTTTTAAATCTTAGTGTTTCAGCTAAGAAGGGCTCCAGTTCGCAGCCTGAATCCTTAGGAGATAAGGGGG